CTAATTATTTTTAAAAACATGCAAACTGTTTACATTTCAAAACCAAACAAAACAGCTGGGATTTCTTTTACTTATGTTTTGACATCTGTTTGTTTCAGAATATAATAACATTCAAATCAATCACAATGTTATCCTTATGGAAGGAACTTTGAGGGCAGCCCACGCCCTTCAAAAGATATATTTCGAAAATCTAAAGCCAGTTTGCACATCTACACACCTAGACGAACATTTTGGTATATAATATGTGGGATTAAATCTTAAAACAAAAAAGCCTTATTGTTCACAAAGTTTCATGTCGCGTATTAAATATATAGATTGTATCATAAAGTTTAACCGTACAGTTGTGTCGGCCAGGAGCTAAATGCAAGACTGGGGGTTGGCGGGGGGTCAGGTCATGTAGATGTTACAAAACAGTATATGAGATTTGTAAATGGAGATGAAGAAAAAGAATATTTTTTTGTAATGTAGTGATACCCCAACACTAATAAAATTATTTTCAATTTTGGAAAATTCCCCAAAATTTGGGGGGTCAGGGGTGCTTTTTGAGAAATGTTCAAATGTCAACATTGGTTGTGTGATACATCAATTTAAAGGGCTAATCACCCCAATCATTTTGGTGCAAAAAAAAATTAATTATCTTTAACCATATTTAGAGGGTGGGTCAAAACGTTCTAAAAAAGGACTTTGAAGTTAAGTACTCTAAGTTAATTACTCTAACTACTGAACGGAACAGCACAAAATCTTTTCCAAGCTTATTCTTGTGCTATTTTTTAAGATAATTTGTAGTTAGGGCATTTCCTGTGTTATTTTCCAATTTTACAAAATCTCAAATTTGAAGAATAAAAGAAAGCTGAAAACTCAAAATTCTTAAATAGCAAGGTATAATAAATTTCATATAATGTGAAAGGTCATTTTTAAACAAACATTTTACATATCTAAGTTTTCTTTCTATCACTTACCGTTTGAAAATTGCAGTAGAAAAACATAATTTTCTTTGGTAAAATATAACTAGTTTTCTAATAAAACACCACTTTGCTCAATGATGTAGTAGGATTAATTACAAATTGATCGACTACTTTTACTTGTGTCAGTTCATCCTGTTCTTTTCTTATCGGTAACTGAATCAGTTTTAGAAAACTCCTAACTAAATCATTAACAGCTGTATGACTCAAGTTCTTACCTGGATACCCTAATAATATTATAAATGAGAAAGTTTGGATGTATGGATGTATGTATGTTTGTGACAAGTAAACGTGAAAAATACTGGTCGGATTGGGCTGAAATTTGGCATGATGATAGCTCACATTCCCAATTAACATATAGGCATATTCTTATTTCAAAAATCCTTTCGGGCTCCGCCCCAATGGCTCTGCAGTTCCCCATGTTAACCTTATGAGTATTCATATTTACAGGGAATTAAAGAATTTAGCCAGCTGTTTCAACTTAAAGAGTTGGTTCTATGGTATGCAAAAGCATTAAAAAGTTATAATATTTACCAACAGGGTGCAGCATTATTATTTTTTCATTATTTATGAAACAGCTAATTTGAACTAAGCAGCAACAAAAAATGTGATACGCAATTAAAACTGTAAAAGTAGGATTGTTTACAGTTATGTTTATTTTTTTAATTTCACGAATAATTTGTTATATTCTGCGAATTTTTAATAATCTCTTTCTCTATTGTGTAGGTGAAGTGGTAGAACATAATGGCTATGGTATCAATTATACAATTATCAATTATCAATTATTTAAGATGGGGACACCACTATGTGTACTCACTAGTGCGGACGTTAATCCACACCAGGGAGCATCGCATCCACAGTGTATCCCTATAAATATCCACAATTCGTGACCTCCTAGTAGCTGGATTACAGGACGACATACCGTAAATTTGAGGAAGCAAATATTCTCAAACCGTGTCTTCTCACATTCAGATATTTGTTTACGATCTTCATAATTTATTACTAGGGTGATGATGCAATAAAAACCCATTAGCAGTCCCAAACCATTAACATTTTATCACGACAACAATTGTTGTATTCAAGTACTTCCAAGAACTGTTGAGTTTTATCACTTTTATTTCTTTACGACTTTCCCCAATTCTATTTTATCATAAAAACAATAGTTTTATGATGACTGTTAAATGTTATCTCTACAGTAACTCAGTCAGTATTTTCGTGAATATTCAATTTGCCACTGGCCATTGTCTACTGCCATAAAACTGTTTATGGCTACATATTTAACTTGTAACTAATCTACAATCTTAGTTTATAAGTTAAAATATTTGTTGTAGATATTAATTTGATCTTTCTATTGACGAAACCACAAGCATAGTTGTTGATGTTTGCATAATTTTTTTGTTTGTTATTCAAGCCTACTCGGTCTCAAATTATATCATTGCATGTTCTGTATCTTGTCTTATATTGTTAGATGTGGCTAAATTCTTTAATTCCCTGTAAATATGAATACTCATAAGGTTACATGGGGAACTGCAGAGCCACTGGGGCGGAGCCCGAAAGGATTTTTGAAATAAGAATATGCCTATATGTTAATCGGGAATGTGAGCTATCATCATGCCAAATTTCAGCCCAATCCTACCAGTATTTTTCACGTTTACTTGTCACAAACATACATACATCCAGACATCCAAACTTTCTCATTCATAATATTAGTAGGAGTTTCCATCCCTTCTCATAGCATTTCATTTCAGTATTGCAGATACATTAATCTAACTGCTCCAAACGGTTTCCAGTTCCCAAACTTCACACTGCTCGCATTTACTACTTCCTTCACCACTACCTATGTCGTGGACATGTTTCCTTCCCTTCCCATAACATTTTAGGATTGCAGATAGGCCTACCTTAAACTAATTGTCATAAACAGTTCCCACACTCCGGACTACTCGCCTTTACTACTTCCTTCACCACTTCCTACGTCGCGGACCTGTTTCCCTCCATTCCCATAGCATTTTAGGATTACAGATACCTTAATCTAATCGTTATAAACATATCCCACACTCTGCACTGCTAGCCTTTCCTACTTCCGTCGCCATTCTTAACGTCGTGGACCTGTTTCCTTCCCTTCTCTTAGCATTTAAGTTTTGCAGATAGACTTATTCAACTGCCACAAACGGCTCCCAGACTCCACACTGCTAGCCTTAACTATTTCCCTCACCACTTCCTACGTCACGGACCTGTTCCTCTCCCTTCCTATAGCATTTTAGTATTTTAGATACATTAATCCAACTGCCACAGATTCTTCCCACACTTCGCACTGCTAGCCTTTACTACTACAATGTAATGTTCAGGCAGTAATCTTCAGTATAATTTTTAACTCAATAGTAACAACTGATGTTTTTCCTTTTAGCGAATTTCCCATATAGGGAATAATTAGTGAATTTCCCATATAGGGAATAAGCTATTACCGTTGTACTCATGGTAAGACCTGGACCCGGGACCGATTTACTTTTTCGTTTTGAGGTCCCTAGAGGCCAAAAACACCCATCCGTTCAAATTCATATATCTATGTCCGTTAGTGCGATAACTCGAGCAAAGATCATCCGATTTTGATGAAATTTGGTACAAACGTGTAAACCTACGTTTATTCGAACGAATACGCGAACCAGCATGATCGGACTATGGGAACAAGGGCTTATGGGGGGTTTTATGGGGTAAAAATTGGGTTTTCCCATTTTTGACCCTAAAAACTTATAATTTAGTATATTGAAGCTTTATTATGCGCCTAATAGTTACGGAGAAAATTCCAAAAATCTGTAACTTAAAATTCCAATGTTATTTTTATGGAGAATAAGTAAACTGTTGTAGTTTGCTTGTTTATGAACATATTGTGATCAAATATAGAAAATGCATTATTTTAAAACTAAACTATTAACATTTTACAAAAAAAAACACCTGTTTACCCTCCCTGTTGCAGCAAACCTAAGTACTCGTTAAACTAATGTTATTTAAATAGGGAATAAATGTGATATTTTTAAGGAGACATTTTAGTGTAAATCCAATCAGACAAATGGAAATTCGCTTGGTCTGCAGGTTTGTTGCGGCGGGGGTATTTCAATTTGCTAGTATACTGTGGGTAGATAGCTTATTATTAACACAGTTACAACTTTTTTGTTTACTTTTTCCTTGTTATTTAATTCAAACAAAATGGTTACTTAGAAACCCATAAGACTAATGTTTAAAAAAATGTGACTTTCAGTTTCATTTTTCTACGTAATTAGATTTTTGTTAGCAGTTCTAACTGCATTAAACTAATTTTTAAGCTAGAAATAAACTAATTACAACATTTGAAAAAAATTGTCGAAGCCGTTTTCGAGATCTTTGTGCAAGCAAGCAAGCATACATACATACATACATACAAGCAAACATTGCTCATATTAGAGTACCTATATATAGGATAGGATGAATCCCAAAGTATCCATGCACTTTTGAGAAAACTACAAGTCACACCCCCATAAACCATATACTTAAAATGTTTGTCATGACAAGATACCTTGCACGACACTATCCATTATTTCATAAATTGCCCTTTAAGGTCGTAATTCCTTTCTAAAGGGGACTTTCCATATACCTAATGTTAAACATACCTCATATGTCATTCTCTTAATTTATTACCTTATTAAAATCAGGTGTGATTATTTGTTTGTATTCCGTTTTGTTTATTTCAGCTTAACTTAACCAATCAATAGTAAGTATTAACTTTATTAATACTTATTAAGTCAAATGGGGCGAAGCCCGTGGGTAACAGCGTAACAGCTAGTTTAAGTAAAAAGTAATGGTAGAATAGAATTAGATGTCATTTATAGCTCTCATACTTACCAATACCAGATGTTTCTTTAGCCAGAAACACATTCCATTAAAAAGGCCATGATAATGAAAAGAGTCCAGTTTTGAAGCATCAAAAATTTTATAGAACTGGCGACCTTCTGATTATAACATCGGGCACTACAACTCTTCAACTACAGAGTTGTTATTTATATTCACCTGAGATATCTGTGCGACTGTAGGTAGTGACAGACTCTTCCACATGCACAACTGCATCTCTGGAGCTGTGATGACCTTCTTCCGTCTCATCATTAGACATATGATTATTTTTATGGCTATGGTTTTGGTTGTGGCTTTCTGAGTGGTTGGTAATTACAGGTTCTACTTCTTCACTCAACTGCAAAAATCGGTTATATTAAGCCGGTTTTCCGGAACTTATGCTGACTCAATGACAGAAATAATTCTACAATCAACTTACTTTTACGGTGCAATAAGGGAGCTATTCAGCAAGTGAGGAATATTTTTGTCTGACACCCAATAGACGAATGCTGATTACAAAACTTCTAGTACAAATGAGTTTGCCACCTCAAAGGTTGTCTAGCCGTCACAGTAGAGGTGTTGTTGGGCTGCCTGTTGTCGTAATATTTAAGTTGAAAGAGTGTGTTGCAATTAAAAAGACCAACTAAGTCCAGCTAGTTGTAGTGTGCAGTCTATATAGTTTTTGCAGGCCATAAACTAAAACCTAAAGAAATTTTTCATCAAGTGAGTGAAGTTTACAAAATACATCGTAATAATGAAAGTTCTGTTCAGAAATGGTATATTAAATTTTAAAATGGCTAAACTTAAATTTAAATCAATAATTTGAGTTTTCAATTGCAATGCCCAACCTAACAGAGCAAATTGCACATAAGAGCTCCTTCATACATTACAATGACAGATTTTCCCTTTACCACCCTACACTCCGACAGTCCAGACGCTGCTCCGAGTGACTTCTACTAAACTTGTTTCCCTAAATTAAGGTTGGTTGGCAGCAAGGTACTTTGAGGACGACGAGGAGATCCAATTGTGTGTCACTGAGTGGCTAATTTGTAGGTGATGGGTTTCTATGACAAAGGAATTTTAAAGTATGTTTACCGCTATGATAAATAAATACCTCAATTTGTGTGGTGACTAAGTAGAAAATTGTATTTTAGTTGTTTAAATTGTATTTTAGTTGGTTTTTTTTTTCAAACGTGTATAGTAAATTGATTTGTCTTGTAAAAACTTTTAATTTTATTCCAAAATGTTTTCTATTTTTTTAATAGCTCCCATACGGCCAAGCTAAAAAATTAATAGCTATGGACCTTGACTTAAAAAAACACACACCGATGACATTTAACAAAATTTTACCAAGCATCAGTTAGTCCAGCAGCTGACATCACTTAGTGTGCAAACTTGCGTATACTAAATATTCTTGCATAACCTTTTAGTTTAAGGTATATTGAGTTTAAAAACCCTGAGTGTTTACCTCCTTCCCCCAAGTTTTCCTGATATGATGTCATCAATATGGCGGCAAAGGATTTTTTTTAAAGTATGTATTTCGCATATTATTTGTCAGATCGGGATAAACTTTTTTGTTTGAAAGATAACTTTACATGCTATCTTTATAATAACACAAAAATATTTAAAATAACTGGTTTTTGCAAAATTACCAAAATTGTACTAAACATACAACTAATGTGTAAATTGAATAAAGATAGCGTGTAAAGTGATCTTTCAAACAAAAAACGTGGGGGTAGGAGGTAAACACCCAGGTTTTTTAAACGAGACATTAAACTAAAAGGTCATGTAAGAATATTAAGTATATGCAAGTTTGAACACTAAAGTGTAGTCAGCTGAAGGACTATGTATAGCCATGGCTTTAACTAAATAGGTTAGAACAGCAGATCTTTACATCGTTTGTCCTGTATTAACAGAGGCAGATACTTCAACAAACAAAATAATCTATCCTGTATAAAATTGTTATTATATATTTTTAATGTTTATTCAAAAGACTGGATTTATAATGTCAATAAATAATATTAAATCAAAATACTTTGCAGGAATTTAGTATAGGCCTACTATGGTTGATATGCTCATGGACAGTTATAGTCCTAATGTATTTCTAAGTAAAGCAGTACCTGTGAAATAGACTCTGGGACGCAATAAAACTAAAACTCTAATGGTTCAGGGATCAATACAAAATAATAACAAAAGCAGAAGTTGTCTGAAACTTACAACTAAAACAAGTAAGCGTTACCATGGGTAAACCAAGTCCAACTCTAGCCCAGTTGACTCCAGCGAGCTTCTCCCTGAGCACATCAGCCACTTGTGACACAAGGTTGGTTGGAGGGAAGATGCAAACCTTACACGACGGACATGTAAAGCCTGCAGGGGCCGTGGTGGGGGGCATCCTGCGAGCAAACTGGTCCAGGCATACCCAGTGGAACACATCTGTACAGACAATGCAAACCTTACATGATGGACTGTAGATGTGAACCTTGCAGGGGCTGTGTGAGGGGCATCCTGCGAGCAAACTGGTCCAGGCATACCCAGTGGAACACATCTGTACAGACAATGCAAACCTTACACGACGGACATGTAAAGCCTGCAGGGGCCGTGGTGGGGGGCATCCTGCGAGCAAACTGGTCCAGGCATACCCAGTGGAACACATCTGTACAGACAATGCAAACCTTACATGATGGACTGTAGATGTGAACCTTGCAGGGGCCGTGGTGGGGGGCATCCTGCGAGCAAACTGGTCCAGGCATACCCAGTGGAACACATCTGTACAGACAATGCAAACCTTACACGACGGACATGTAAAGCCTGCAGGGGCCGTGGTGGGGGGCATCCTGCGAGCAAACTGGTCCAGGCATACCCAGTGGAACACATCTGTACAGACAATGCAAACCTTACATGATGGACTGTAGATGTGAACCTTGCAGGGGCTGTGTGAGGGGCATCCTGCGAGCAAACTGGTCCAGGCACACCCAGTGGAACACATCTGTACAGACAATGCAAACCTTACACGACGGACATGTAAAGCCTGCAGGGGCCGTGGTGGGGGGCATCCTGCGAGCAAACTGGTCCAGGCATACCCAGTGGAACACATCTGTACAGACAATGCAAACCTTACATGATGGACTGTAGATGTGAACCTTGCAGGGGCTGTGTGAGGGGCATCCTGCGAGCAAACTGGTCCAGGCATACCCAGTGGAACACATCTGTACAGACAATGCAAACCTTACATGATGGACTGTAGATGTGAACCTTGCAGGGGCTGTGTGAGGGGCATCCTGCGAGCAAACTGGTCCAGGCATACCCAGTGGAACACATCTGTACAGACAATGCAAACCTTACATGATGGACTGTAGATGTGAACCTTGCAGGGGCCGTGGTGGGGGGCATCCTGCGAGCAAACTGGTCCAGGCATACCCAGTGGAACACATCTGTACAGACAATGCAATCCTTACATGATGGACTGTAGATGTGAACCTTGCAGGGGCCGTGGTGGGGGGCATCCTGCGAGCAAACTGGTCCAGGCATACCCAGTGGAACACATCTGTACAGACAATGCAAACCTTACATGATGGACTGTAGATGTGAACCTTGCAGGGGCTGTGTGAGGGGCATCCTGCGAGCAAACTGGTCCAGGCATACCCAGTGGAACACATCTGTACAGACAATGCAAACCTTACATGATGGACTGTAGATGTGAACCTTGCAGGGGCCGTGGTGGGGGGCATCCTGCGAGCAAACTGGTCCAGGCATACCCAGTGGAACACATCTGTACAGACAATGCAAACCTTACATGATGGACTGTAGATGTGAACCTTGCAGGGGCTGTGTGAGGGGCATCCTGCGAGCAAACTGGTCCAGGCATACCCAGTGGAACACATCTGTACAGACAATGCAAACCTTACATGATGGACTGTAGATGTGAACCTTGCAGGGGCTGTGTGAGGGGCATCCTGCGAGCAAACTGGTCCAGGCATACCCAGTGGAACACATCTGTACAGACAATGCAAACCTTACATGATGGACTGTAGATGTGAACCTTGCAGGGGCTGTGTGAGGGGCATCCTGCGAGCAAACTGGTCCAGGCATACCCAGTGGAACACATCTGTACAGACAATGCAAACCTTACATGATGGACTGTAGATGTGAACCTTGCAGGGGCTGTGTGAGGGGCATCCTGCGAGCAAACTGGTCCAGGCATACCCAGTGGAACACATCTGTACAGACAATGCAAACCTTACATGATGGACTGTAGATGTGAACCTTGCAGGGGCTGTGTGAGGGGCATCCTGCGAGCAAACTGGTCCAGGCATACCCAGTGGAACACATCTGTACAGACAATGCAAACCTTACATGATGGACTGTAGATGTGAACCTTGCAGGGGCTGTGTGAGGGGCATCCTGCGAGCAAACTGGTCCAGGCATACCCAGTGGAACACATCTGTACAGACAATGCAAACCTTACATGATGGACTGTAGATGTGAACCTTGCAGGGGCTGTGTGAGGGGCATCCTGCGAGCAAACTGGTCCAGGCATACCCAGTGGAACACATCTGTACAGACAATGCAAACCTTACATGATGGACTGTAGATGTGAACCTTGCAGGGGCTGTGTGAGGGGCATCCTGCGAGCAAACTGGTCCAGGCATACCCAGTGGAACACATCTGTACAGACAATGCAAACCTTACATGATGGACTGTAGATGTGAACCTTGCAGGGGCTGTGTGAGGGGCATCCTGCGAGCAAACTGGTCCAGGCATACCCAGTGGAACACATCTGTACAGACAATGCAAACCTTACATGATGGACTGTAGATGTGAACCTTGCAGGGGCTGTGTGAGGGGCATCCTGCGAGCAAACTGGTCCAGGCATACCCAGTGGAACACATCTGTACAGACAATGCAAACCTTACATGATGGACTGTAGATGTGAACCTTGCAGGGGCCGTGGTGGGGGGCATCCTGCGAGCAAACTGGTCCAGGCATACCCAGTGGAACACATCTGTACAGACAATGCAATCCTTACATGATGGACTGTAGATGTGAACCTTGCAGGGGCCGTGGTGGGGGGCATCCTGCGAGCAAACTGGTCCAGGCATACCCAGTGGAACACATCTGTACAGACAATGCAAACCTTACATGATGGACTGTAGATGTGAACCTTGCAGGGGCTGTGTGAGGGGCATCCTGCGAGCGAACTGGTCCAGGCATACCCAGTATTATCAATTATCAATTAGTTAAGATGGGGACGCCACTATGTGCGTATTTTAACCCAAATATGAGTGAAGGATGAGTGTAGGATGAGTGGCGCGATCTTGTAGCCTTGTTAGTGACTAAGGCCGACATGTTCCTTAGACACAGCTGTTAATTAATAGCCCATACAGCTAATGGCAACTAAGGGACCTACAGTTTATAGTGGAATCCGAACCACATTTTTTCCTTGTAATTTACGAATTGGTCTAATTATCAGGATAGTACTGCGGATAGTCGTAGTACTCACTAGTAGAACACATCTGTACAGTCAATTTATAATTTTATAATTTTAAAGCCCTATCACAAGGAAACACTTAAGTGTGTACACACAATTTTATTATATTAAAGAAACAAATACAAAATAACATTGTGGGTAAGCCTCTGGATTGTAAATTGCAATATAAAAATGGTTTATGTTACCTTTTTGTGTCAAACGATTTGTGTGTAGTTAGTGCAACTACAGCTGTTTCATGCCACTAGGGCACATCTTCAGGTTGTCGGTAGGACGTTAGGCAAAAAAGCATTCATTCATAGATGAATTTGTCAAGATAAATATGTCCATACAGTAGAGTCCCGCAAACTCAGCACTCAATAACCTGGCAGTCTGGATAATTCGGCCATCACCTGGCCCAGAAATTTAGTGATTTTTTTAGTCCGAGTAAAACATGGACTGAAGTCAGCTAAAGTCAAATCATTCAAAACTCATACCAAGGATTTGTTGTACTATATCTGATGACTTAATACTGACTTGTAATATAAATATAAATAAAAAAGGCGGTTAAAAAGCTTAAAAACTGTATTGTTCTTATTTTTAACCCTAGTTTCTGATAACCCGGCATTACACAAACTCGGCAACCTTCCAGTCCACATTACGCCGAGTTTGCGGGACTCTACTATACACAAAATACACAAATTAAAATACACAAATTTATAAACTTGGCCAAGTGAAGAACACACGAGACAGGCGCCGGTTGATGTTGCGTCTACAAATTCATCTATGAATGATTGCTTTTTTATCAACGTTCTACCGACAACCTGAAGATGTGCCCTAGTGGCATGAAACAGCTGTAGTTGTACTAACTACACACGGATTTTTTGACGCAAAAAGGTAACATAAACCATTTTTATATTACAAAATAACAGACAGTTGGTGTTCTCAAATAACTGTTGTACCTCACAGATGGCAACGTCTAAAATTGTTGCCCAATAGACAAGCAATGATTTAAAACTGTAACATAAATAAATAACTTACGATAACAGGTAAGCCGAACACAGTCATCAATAATCAAGTCCTTGGAACACAAAACGCATGTTGGGCTATAATCACTGTCCTGCAGCCATCTCAAGTATGACTGCACAACACACTGAAAAATTCAACCCAACATTACAAATCTTGTGACGAGTAGTCTATGATAGTTAAATTAAATGCCACAAATCCAAGTTCTAAGGGCTATCTATTCCTGAATTATGAGTATCTATATATTAACTAGCTGTACCCGCGGGCTTTGCCCCGTTTTACTTCATAAGTGAGCTCGTTCGCATGGCTCAATCACGTCCTGGTTGAAGTTCGTTCGCTACGCTCACTCACCTTTAGGTTGGAGCTCGTTCGCTGCGCTCACTTGCCTTCAAGTTAGCTCGTTCGCTACGCTAACTCGCCTCCAGGTTGAAGTTCGTTCGCTACGCTCACTCACCTTTAGGTTGGAGCTCGTTCGCTGCGCTCACTTGCCTTCAAGTTAGCTCGTTCACTACGCTAACTCGCCTACAGGTTGAAGTTCGTTCAAAAAACGCTCACTCACCTTTTGGTTGCAAATAAGCTGTTGTCATAAATAAAAAAAAAAATAATAGTGCTGCACCTTGTTGGTAATCCTTATAACTTTAATGCTATTGCACATCATAGAACAGAACCAACTTGTTTAATTGAAACAGCTGTTAAGATTCATTAATTCCATTAAATAGAAGTACTCATAAGGTTAACATGGGAAACTCCAGAGCCAGTGGGGCGGAGCCCGAGAGTCCGATCAGAATAAAAACAACTTAGTTTTCCTATTTAATGCCTAAAGAATCAGTGTACCAAATTTCAGCCTCCTAGGTAAATGGGAAGTGGGAGAATTAGTGATGAGTGAGTGAGTGAGTGAGTGAGTCAGTCAGTCAGTCAGTGAGGGCTTTGCCTTTTATCTAATATATAAAATTCTCGTGTCACAGTGTTTGTCTGCAAACTCCTCCGAAACGACTTCACCGATCGTTATGAAATTTGGTGTGTAAATTCTGTAGGTATGCGAATCGGACGTAAACTATTTCCCGTTTCGAAATTCTTAAAAGGGCTCCGCCCCAGTGGCTCTGGAGTTTCCCATGTTAACCTTATGAGAAATGGAATTAATGAATCTTAACAGCTGTTTCAATTAAACAAGTTGGTTCTGTTCTATGATGTTCAATAGCATTAAAGTTACAAGGATTACCAACAGGGTGCAGCACTATTATTTCTTTTACATTTATGACAACAGCTAATTTGCAACCAAAAGGTGAGTGAGCGTAGCGAACGAACTTCAACCAGGACGTGATTGAGCGATGCGAACGAGATCATCTTGAAAAGTAAACGTAACGGTACTTACTTTCCATCGGTCTGTCTTAGGGGAAACCTATAACTTAGGCGATACGAAGTTCGCCGGGTCAGCTAGTATATATAGATAGGCAAGCATGTTTCTTTAAAACCTTTTTTCTCAGCTTGTGTGCATGGCAGGGAAAATCTACGCATACTGTTGGAAAGATATTTTCCTGTAGATGTGCAGAATGCCTATATAAATTAAAATAGGCTCAAATAAGCACAGAAAATGAATTTAAAATTTTGAAAAAATTAACATGGATTTTATGGGTTGCTACTATGGGGGGTGATGAAAAAACAACGAAATATAAACAGAAAATAAAAACAAATGGAAGAAACTCCAATCACATGTTTTATTCACAGTGTGGTGTGAATATAGAGAAGTCTGTACATTGCATATTTTTGGTCGAGTTTCGACCACTGGACAACCTCTAGTAAATTATGAATGACCTGATTTGGCAATTTAACATGTGAACAGGGCAAAAAAACCAGTGCATTTAAATTTTAGCAAATTTCCCATATAGGGAATAAGCTATTACCGCAGGTCTCATGATAAGACCTAGATCCGGAACCGATTTACTTTTACGTTTCAAGCTCCCCAGAGGCCAAAAACACCATCCGTTCAAATTCATATATATATATATATATGTGTCCGTTAGCGCGGTAACTCGAGCAAAAATTATCCGATTTTGATGAAATTTGGTACAAACGTGTAAACCTAGATTTATTCAAACGAGTTCGCCAACCAGCATAATCAGAAATTATCTCCGTAACCGTTGGGCATACAACAACTCTTCAATATACAATATTATTTCCTTTTTTAAGCTCTACGAAATGGTTTGGAGAGAAATCTTTAACCCCATAAAACCCCCATAAACAACGGGGGTTAATGGGGGGTTTTATGGGGTAAAAATTGATTTTTCCCATTTTTAACTTTAAAAACACAACATTTCATAATTTCTCTCCAAACCATTTTGTAGAGCTTAAAAAATAAATAATATTGTTTATTGAAGAGTTGTTGTATGTCCAACAGTTAGGGTGATAGTTAAAAAAAAATTAAATTTAAAACTCCCATGTTATTCTTATGGCGAATAAATAAACTGTAGAAGTTTGCTTGTTTATGGATATACCTGGTTAAATAACTTCTTGATCAGCATTGTACCTGTTATTAAATTTACGGAAAGTAAATAAAAGAAACGTCTTATAATACTTAAAACATATATTTACGCTTATACTGTTACTCACAAGACGGTAAATATACCAAAAAGATGGTAAGTGGTGATCGATTTCGATTGGACACTCCAATCATCACAAGACCCAATAGGAGTGTCCAATCGAAATCGATCACCACTTACCATCTTTTTTGTATATTTACCGTCTTGTGAGTAACAGTATAAGCGTAAATATATGTTTTAAGTGTTATAAGACGTTTCTTTTATTTACTTTCCGCATATACCTGGTGTCCATAAAGTCCTGACAACATTTTGTTGTGTAACAAAATGAAAAACATTAGACATACAAAAGTGACACTTAATTTTTTAGAAAGAGCCTGAAAAAAAGTTTTATATGCAATTCATATAACATTAGTACACTTCCACATGTGACCCATTTGTGTCCCGGAGAATTTCCAGTCTAAATTCAATCTCCTCCCAAGTACTTGCCAACATCTCTCCAGTGATTGTTGAAATTGTTTCTCTGATCCTGGTCTTCAATGCCACTTCTGAGACAGATGTAGCATAAACCTTGTCTTTCACAAAGCCCCAAAAGAAGAAGTCTAAAGGTGTGATGTCTAAGATAGTTGTTATCTACATGAATGAGATCTAAAATTTCATTAGCAAAAGAAGCTTGGTAAGGGTAATCATTCGGTTTCAAAAACTGCACTAGTTGAATATTGTATGCGCTTAGTTTGAGTTTTTTACGCAAAATCTTATGTACAGTGGTACGTGGTAAACCAAGTTCCCTGGAAGCTTTGCGAACTGATGTACGTGGACTGCGGGTGAAGCATTGTCTAACGACATCGACGGTTTCTTCTAAAATTTTAGGCCTACCTAAACGCGGCAGGTCCGCAACACTTCCATTGTTCTTGAAGTTATTAAACCAACGAATAATTTATCTATAGCTTGGAGAAGCTCCAAAGGTGCTTAATCGCCCCCCCATAGAGCAATCTCATCCATCTTTGAACGTAAACAGGTGAATTAGACTCGTGAAGTTACAAAACACATTGAGCTTTTTCTTCCTTAGTAGCCATTTTTACGACAGACACAAGAATTGTAACTTTTGTTTGGTATCACACTCAACAATGAAAAATGTTACCAACATATACAAACAAAACTTGATAAAATCAGCTGTTAAACAACATATATAAAACATGTATAATCCCATCAATTCTACGAACTCAAAAGTTGTCAAGACTTTAAGGACACATTATTCTAAATTAGAACAACTAAATAAGATAAGTAATAGAATAGTTTGTTTCAGTTATGAGTCAGCGCTCAGAAAGGACGGTCGGTTTACTGATAGTGCTGCGGTCTTATCTCTACTTGTTTAATTCCATGTATTGAACTGTGCTGGTTTTGAGGTTAGTGAAAAGTGGTGTGCACATTGTAACTACTATAGCTGTCGAAAATACTTTTATAAGAACTGTTTTGCAATTTTAAAAATGGCTTTGTGCGGGGTGTGCTCTAAAACAGTCAAGTCCTCTCAGATTCAATTATCTTGTAATGAATGTGAAAGTGCGTTTCACGGAAACTGCCTAAAAATGAGTAAGGCAGACGTAGAGTGTATTAAGGGTGATAATCTAGTGTGGAGATGTCCGCCTTGCGGAGAAAACTGAAGGAAAAGTTTACGTTTTGAGGCTGAACTACAGGAAGGTAAGCTTACATTAGATGATATCATGAGGAAAATCAATGAAATGTTTGAACTTCAAAGAAGTCAGGAGTCAAACTTCAATAAATCACATGAAAGTCTTAGTGAACAATTGGCAGAAAATTGTAAACTTATTAAAGAGCAAAACCTGTCAATTGAGAATTGTTTGAAGACTATAAATGACCTGGTAAGTGAAAACAAACAATTGACTAAGAAACTAACTGATCTGGAGCGTAAACTTGAAGAGATGGAACAGTACTCAAGAGCTAATGCTGTGGAGATTCAAGGAATTCCTCTACAACCAAATGAAGATGTCGTCGGTATAGTTAAAGAAGTGGGGAAGGCAATGGACATGGAGGTATCAGATTCTATGATTGATGCGTGTCACCGGCTAGGCAGAGGAAACGGGAGAAACGGGAATCCACCAGGTATAATCGTCAAGTTCGTGAGGCGTCTTGACAAAGAGGAATTCATGAGGAAGCGTCGCGTAAAGAGGACTCTCTCGACTAGAAACATGAACCTGGACGATGACCGACCCATCTACATAAATGAAGCTCTGACACCGGAGAGGAGGAGGCTACTGGCGGCAGCGAGGCAGGTGAGAAAGGATAAGGACTACAAGTTTCTTTGGGTCAGAGGTGGTAAAATCTTCCTTCGCAGGCAAGAGAACTCTTCGATTATACACATGACATGTAGTGATGACCTCAATGGCTTGTAAATTGTTGCTACGCACCATAAAGCTTTCTATAGACTTTTCATTAACTTAGGCCTACAAAATTCCTTTGGCTATTAAGTTAGCCCACATTGAATTCAAAGTCATTTCTTTCTTAATAAAGATAATTCCTAATTTGTGTTTTAGTTCTGTCTAATGAGGTAAGTCTTTATCTTAATCTTATAATA